AATGAAGTTACTCATGTCCAGAAAAAAGGTTTGCAATTTTATGCATTTTTTTTCATTTTATTTTTATTAATCAGAAAATCCTGTGCATGAATTTGTATTCCCTGATTCTAATGTACCATTTCTATGTCTTATAGATTTTGAGGAAAACTGATTATCAAAATTGGGGAATATTTATATATAAAGAAATAAAATAGTATAATCGATTCAGTCAAATTTTAATAATTCATTGCAATTTGAATGGCTAAAACCGTAGAGACACTTCTTTCTGTTAACCATATATAATGGCATCACTAAAGGGGTGGGTTACTAAACTGTGGGTGACAAATTTTTTTTTGGCAAAGCAAACAAATTAAAAAAAAAAAGAATTCATAGCCTTATACTATGTCCATTATGTGCGACAGTGCTTACAAGAGATTAGAAAAATACTTATCAGGCTTTGAAAAGTGGAAAGATAGTAAAGACAATAAACAGGAATATGATTTCTATGATTGAAGTAAAGTAACAATAATAGTATGGCATGTTGGAGATCTAGCACAGATTGTTTGATATCACACAATCATAATGTAACATATAGCCACTTTGAATAAATGAATTTCTGGAGATGTTAACCAAATAACCCTAACTCAGTCTTAAGAGAACAAAGTCTTTTAGGACTTTTTTTCTATGAAGGAAAAAAAAAGTTTATGAAATGAGAACTGTTATTTTTAAAAGTTTACAATATTTTGAGCTCCAGGATATGATACTGCAGCTATGTCATGGAAGGGTATAAGCCCTTTTGAAAAATAACAACACTAGTTTTAAAGAATATGTTTTTAATCAATAGACCTAAAATCTATTGCATTAAATATGTAGTTATAAATCCATAATTGAATATTGATCAAGACAAAACTTTTACCAATGTTTAAAAAATTAAAAGAATTGAAGCATGAGACATTTCTGTTTTTACTATAAGCATCAGTAATACAATAAACTCATTTTAAGAATACATAGGAATGTCTCTGTCAATGCGCCATGTCAGAACTGTCATTGTTTCAATGAGTACCATCTTTTAGATGTCTTCATATGTAAACAAGACATGCCCCTTACTGTCTTGTTGAGCACTAGGATGACTTTTTGACTATAAACTCATTACCAAGGTACCAGCATATATGCCTCCTATGTCATTGTGTTGAATGCTATTTCAGAAACTCTTGGCACTCATTCTGAAAATGTAGATAATAAAGACAAAGCGCAAGAACTATTTTAGCAATGTACTGGATGAAGTTAGTAATACACAAGACTAAAGATTTAATCAGCTATTGACAAAGTGATGGGTAATCTAGAGACAAATGAACTTGTCTATTTGAAAGCTTGACACAAAATAAATGATATTGAGAGGTATTCTCTCAAATCAATGTGATAAACACATTTTTTTAAGTTTAAACCTATTTACAGTTATGTATCAATAGGTATAGTTATCTCATACTTGTATCATGGCTCAACAAAATGAAAAACAAATTAAAAAGAGGTTTATTGGATAGAAATTGTTTTGGGGGGAGAAGGGAGTAGTGACACTGACAGAGGTTTCTTAGTTATTTCTCTTGTTTAACTAATGTTGGTGCATTCCAAGGAGAGAAAAATGTCGATTTCATACGAAAATTGATACAAGAAGTTATTTGTCATTTTTATTTTTAAAAAAGTCATTCTAATTGATATAATTGTAATGAAAACTAAAAGTATCACAAATTTATGTATAAGTTTTCTTTTTTTTTTTTGGTCACACTTTCTAATAGGTAGCAATCTTCATTGTTTTTAAAATTGTTTATTTTTTGTTTAAATTAGGGAGAAGTCGAGCTTTTGGTGGCATTTGCTATTTACTTGCAATGGAAGAAGTGGTAAAAAGAGAGGAAAACAATCAAAAAAAGTCTGTGATCATGGAACAGGCAATACAGCAAGTCTCCTTAATGAAAGATAGTGAAAGAATTGCTTCAATTTTGAAATATCAAGAAAAAAACATGGAACTGTTAACATTATTAGAAGAACAAGAAAAATGCTGTTTTAAAACTGCTGCTTTTCAAGCGGTATAGTATAATCAAATGACCTGTATAATGCAAATACGAAGTTTTTCATAACATTTTGATTTAAAACATAATATTTTAGATGAACAAACTCAGTCATATTTCTATCCTAGGTTTGTCGCAAATGTAGACAAGTAAGAATCAACAATTTTAATATGAGAACAATCTTAGGAAAATATAGAATTTCCATTGATAGGTAAGACCTTTATAGTGGGTACTAAATATATTTTCCTTTTCATTATGTTAAGTGTTTTACATTATGGCCCATATCTAAAAATTATTTTTTTTGTTTTAGGAATCTTCTAACTAATGAGTTTATTGTTTGCAAACCTGACAAACCAGAGTTCATGGATGAGCTAGAATTTGTAGGAAAAACATATTGTTGCGGTAAGCTTCCCTCAGGAGCGACTTGTGGAAGTCAACTGGGACTAATGATCAAACATAAAAAGGTTCCTTTTTTTAACGTTGGCATAAAATTTATTGGAATTTTAACTGATGACAGCGATCCCTTACTTTTGTGTAAACAGTGGAAGAAAATGCCATATTACATTGAAGAACTTTCTTTTGATGACATTAAAAATTACATTAAAGCAATGTAAAATTTAACAAGATAAATTTTGTTGTATAAACAAATCAGTATGGTAAAGTAGTTTCTGAGATTTCCCATCCAAATACATAAACATTTTAGTTGCTTGTCTGAAAAACATTGTAATGCAATGGATCTCATACAGTTTTTTTTGTCCTGGAACTTATAGCATTCTCAACAGTTTAAATGCAGTTAATTGTTTGAGACTTATTTTCTAGATTGTACAGATTACAATTTTCTTGATTAAAATCATATTTTTCTGTAATATTCTACAACAGACTTCTTATCTGTTCTTTCATCAATAATCATTCAAACTTCATGAGGTCTTTATCATGATTACTCAACATTAATTATCAACTTTGTCATCATACCACTGCTAAACATGCAAAGTAACTGTTTTTGAACTGTACCTGTAAAGTAGAAAACTATTTCTAAACATATATACAACCAAAAATTTACATTGATGATCTATGATATGTAATTTTGGCTCTAGGTATGTTACCTATGATGTGAGCCAATCTAATTACGTTGATGCAAAATATTTAAAAAAAAGAAAGTGAGAGAAATGTTTTCAAATTCTATTTAAATTATATTTTGTTAAAAACTTTTTTTTTCTATGTGTTGAATGCAGATTTTCAAGATGGAAACAAGCTACTTTTTACAAACTGTATGCCAACTCTGTGAGTGGCATCTTGTACATATTTTTTTCTCCCTTTTCCTATTCTCGGATCAAGCTGACAATATGCACAATTATCCATTGTCGATAACAACACATTAATCAATTGAAAAATTAACCAATTATTTAATCAATCAGTCGTCATTAATTAATTCTGTTTTATAAGGAAAATGTTCTAAGGGGAGATAAGCCTTGTGTAGAAGGTCATTTGCTATAAATTTTAAAATATATACTATAAAACCTTCTATTTTTCTTAGTAGGCCTACTTGAATAGCTTAGTGAAGAGCGTATCAGCTTTCTATCATGGAGACCTTTTGTTCCCATTCAGACTCATGCTTATTCTTTTTTTAAATAGCTTTTGAAAAAGCAGCATGGAATTCAAACCTTCTCCCAGATATCGCTTCCCCCAACTGGTCCACAAAATTCATTGGACCTTATTGAAATTAGCATTCTATAAGCATGAAAGTTGTGCTAAACAAAAACCATTAATAAAATATTTCCTATCGCAAAAATGTGTTATTGGAAGTCTAGATCAGGGGTGTGCAACCTTTTTATATAAAGGGCTGCAAAATTTATTTTGGTATGAGGAGCCGCGTATATATATATATTTGAATATTTATTTTCTAAATCAAGTATTTCTCTGAACTGCCTGTGGTTAAGACTCCTAACCCTTATAAATTTGATCACTGCAACAATCAGCTCAATACATGCTGGATATTCAATGCAGCTTTGCACAAACTGTCTTGATGAATGACACAGTGGAGAGGTAAGAGTCAGTATACTTCCCTTTAATTTCACCATTCATCAGCTTCAACAAACCTTGATCTGTTTTCCCAGTCAAAGCACAGGCTCCATCAATTGTTACATTTAATATGTTGTTTCATGGTAACCAAATTCTTTCAACAAAGTTTTTGGCAGTATTGAACAAATCTTAGCCTGTGGTTGTATCTTTGAGTGGTTCAACACTGAGCTGAAACGTATCCACTCCCCAGATAAATATCTGTAATTGTGCTATGTCATACTTTCTTCCAATGCCAGTGAGTACCTCAAAAAAAATCCTTTCTTGCATTGGTGCAGCAAATTATCTTTTTAAAAACCCTAATTACTTTTCTGCTTGACAGAGTAATGCTATCAAATTTCTTTTTCTGTTCTAGACACATGATATTGGCTGCATTTGACAAGCAATTCTTATATTCACTATCTCAAAAAAAAAAAAGTTCTGTTTGACAATCATGTGGCACATCACAAAATTAACTTCTGTTGCAGCTTCTAATGGTGATTGTTTAACTCCTGGATTTTTTTTTTCCTTTGTGAGATTGCATCCAAAATCAGGATGCTTCGTTTGGTGGTGTCCTTTTTAAATGATTGTAATATTTTAAAATATTGATCTGTTCACTGTACAGCAAGCACGCTGCTTTCATGAAAAATATTTATCCATAATTTCATCGTTTAAAAAATTAAATTCATCTTCTGTTTTTCTTTTTTAGAAGCGTTCATGATAAAAGAGTTGTAAAATGTTTAACCTCCAATCCATTAATACTTAAGTATAAAAACATTATCTTTTTTGACACAACTTTGAAACAAAGCGAAGACAACTACCATTGAGCAAAATGCAATTTGAATCTAATCCTGAATAATTCTATATAGTTCCTGTTGGAATTATTTTTTATACTTAAAATATTTTAGAATTAGAGAATGTTTTCTTTTGCCTCTTCATCATCAGAATCGATAATATAAAATATAATAAATCTATAAACTGTAGACAGAAGTTTCTGAAACTGTGTAGATATTTAAATTTATTTTTAAAATATATGAATTATTATAGATACAATCTGTGGATACACCTAATCTCTGTAAGTGTCCTTGGGCCACATAAAATACTCTGGAGGGCCAAATATGGACTTCGGATCATAATTTGTCCACCCATGGTCTAGATATATTAACACTTAATTACTTGATTGATTCTAAATTAATGCAATTTTACTCAACAGAAGCTTTGTTTTTTTAAATTATCTTTAAAATTTTATTTGTAGTCTTATCTTAAACTGCCAAGAGTGGATGAAATAATTATTTATTTTTGTGTTTTCACCTTAATTAAGTATAAGTAAATGCCTTAAAATAGATAGATTTTTTATGTCAGGCTAAGCACTTTTCAAATAGTCTTGAGCACTAGGATTGTAAGTAAGTTAGAGCTATATTGTTTTCTTTGTTTTTCCACCATCATGTGATAATCTTATATGAATATATATTTTTATTCTGTAATCTACATTTTACGTTAAAAAAGTTTTTTTTTACACAATATGTCAGTGTGATATTGTTTTAATTTTAAAAACCCTTGACTGTAAGATGAAGTTGATCCCAAGTTATGAAGTTTGATATTTTTACATAATTAATGGTCCTTGGTACTATTCTACAGATTGTGAATCAGATTTTTGTGTGCATTTTTTGTAATTACGCAAGATATTCAAGAACAGAGTACAAGAGGCTGCAATATAGCCCACATTAAGTATGTACATTAAATTTCAATTTTCATTGAAAGCCATAATTTTACTTAAATCTTTTTTTTTTTGTGAAAATGATCTTCAACTAGTTGCAATATTTTGGGTTCTTGGCACAATTAATTATTCACTATTTGTGCTTGATCTGTCCTTCACCATGTATTTATGCATATCAATCAGGACATTTAAGACTGTTATTAATTTAACTGATTCTAAATGTGCTGTTGTTTTTAACAGCAAACTATGTGTTTTATTTATACTTGATGACATTTATAATGAAAGATAAAACAAGAAAAAAGAAACCTACAGTTTTTATTAATTTTAATATTATGAAATGGTATATGATTATTAAATAACTTATAATCACTACCCCTGAGTCATATTTCAATGTAAAAATTTTTTAATTTAACTATACATAAAACAAAACTCAAAACTGCAATTCAGAGTTTTATTTTTTTTTCTATAAATTGTATCACGTTCTGTACATTGTTTGTCAACTAAGTACAATTTACACAATAAAACTGAATTCAGGTAAGAATAACTAATTGCAAAAAAATTGATGAAAAAAGGGGGGGGGGGGGGGGACAATGTGCAAATGTAAAATAGGGATGTTAAAGAAGACTGTAGGTGATGTATTAAATAATGATATGCAATTTTGGTGTGAGAAGTTCTGTCAATGGATTATAAAAAAAAATACAAAACTTTTATTACAAAACTTGTTTTTCACTATACTGTAATCTCTCTCTAAATATATATATAAATATGTATATATATATATATATATATATATATATATATATATATATATATATATATATATATATATATATATATATATATATATATATATATATAGTATACAGTCTCACCTCTTCCCCCACAAAAAAAGTTAGAATAAAGATCTTGACTATTTCATGATTGCATATTGCCAACTACCAGAGACCATGATGTTGACAGGCTTAACCCTCCCCCTCCTAAATTATAGGCTACGTTTTTTACTATTCAGTTGGAGATTAATTAAAAATCATTTTTTTCAGTATTTTCTGTGAATAAAAATAAAGCTTCAATTTTTTTTTTTCTATCATTGTTTCATTTTGTTTTTGGACAATATTGAAGCCCACACAACATTAGAATGTTAATTGGAAAAACAATAGTTACACACAAAAAATACTTTTGAACACATATCTAGAAAACATAGATATGTATCATTCTTTTAAAGACATAATAGATTAAAATACATAATGTGTCTAAAATTTTTGAGCCAAAATACCACTGCACCTAACCATCCAACTTGGTATTTCAAGTAGAAATTTTTAAAAAAATCAATTAATGTGTGTTATCTACTATTGTAAGTTTTCTGTTCAAATTATCATGACATACATCATTTTAACAATTCAGTTGAAACTTATATTTATAATAACTGGTATATAAGAAAACAAAATGTAAAAGAAATTTTGGAGGTAAATTTTTTATAAAGTTATCTTTTTGGGAGGTAAATGTGTAACATTGTTATCTTTCCTCAAATAATAAATGTTAGAACTGAATTTTCATTTAAATATATTTTTAGATTAAATATACAAGGCAATTAAATAAGCTGCTGTTAAAATGATGAAAATTGGCCAAACGAATGAGAAACTGAAAACTGCACTAGACACAGTGTAAGTACATGCAGGGGGTTTCATCAACACACCAATGAAGGAGGCCATTAAGCTGGCCATTTGGTCTTGGCATGGCCTCAGCTCCTCCCACATACACAGCTTTTTGATTTCAAAATGACTGAAGAAAAATTGAAACAAAATGTCATTTTATGCATCATCTTAACCTCTTCACCCAAAATAGTTTCATTTATCAATACATAGCAGTATAAGAACTATTTTCAACAACAACTAAAGACCAATTTTTTTAATAGAAGAAATCATTTATGAACATGTACACGATAAAGATAAAATTCTCTTCAGCATACCACCCTCAAAGCAACTGTAAATAATTCAATGGAACATTGAACCAAATCATTTCAGAAATAGTTAATGTAACCCACAAAACTAGTTACAAGGAATGTCATCAAGAAGCCACAGAATTTTTAGATTTTGAAATGATTTATCAAGCAAACCTGGGAGAAAATATGTCTACCTTATTGGAATAACTGATAAAGTCAAAACAAGCTACGTCAGAAAGAAAGCCTACTTTCAAACATGTTATCAATACCAGAAACATTGTAATAAATACATGAGAGAAAGATTAAGCTAAGAGAATCACAAAGAAGAATTAATGAAAAAGAGAATTAAAGAAACTTTAAACTGGAGAAAAAGATAAACTATTATTACCTGCTATGGCAATTATTGTCATAAAAAAAAGTTGACATCAACAACTAAAAGAAATTAATTCACATAAACATACTACAAAAACATAAAGAAAATACACAAAATGTAGACATTCTGAAAGAAACTGAACAAAACATTACATGCTGTATAACTTTTACAGGTGCTTTATATCAACTACACAGTATTTACCCTAATTCTAACCAACCACACCAAGACAGAACAAGATACCATGCTATTACAAGAGACTATAAGCAAAAAAAAAAAAAAACCCAGAACATTTTGCTCAAGACATCATTCTGAAACTGCAAGACAGAAACAAAATTTTTCAACTCGCTACAGACACTAATCTTCAGCAATAGGAGCATGTCTAATGCAAAGAGTACCAAGGGACTTTACATCCATTATTTTTTATCAGCAGGAAGCAATAAACATTTGAAACCAGATATTCAACAATATAATGAGAATATCAAGCCTTAGTCTGGGCTATCTCCCAATTCAGCACTCTTCTCATTGAGCATTAGCATTCTTCAATGTAAGGAACATTGGAACAATAACTCATTAGAGTCTACAACTAAAGATATACCAAGTTAACCTGAAGATTATTCCAAAAAAAAAATGTTTTCAGATATTCTGTCAAAAAATATGCTTCAATAAATATTTATAGCAAGTTTCATAGAACTTTTAAAATTGTGTTTTGAAAATGAATTTTAAAAACTATTGTAATTCAATATTATATACTTTTTGTGCCTGTAACCGAACATTTTGTAATCACAAGTATTTGTATTACTTATCAATAACATATATTTTTTTTTCCTTTATTAGCTTTAGAAAACAAAGACAAGATTTGAAAATTGTAAAAATACTCATTTTGAAATTTCTACAATAGGGTTTGTTGGACTAGTCTGTTTCGTTTCTTTGATTAAAAAGCATTGGGCCGGAAGTCGTTTTATTTTTCAGTTCTCTTTTTAAATTAAACTGACATTATTATGCTATAATTTTAAGTGTACCTGATAGAGAAAAAAATTCTGCACAAAAATACGGGTAGTTGGGATATAACCCGATAGAGGCTATAAAAAGAAAAGACCTGAAACTAGCGTGTGAAACTACACATTTACAGTACTTTATTTGATGAGTATTTTACCCAAGATCTGTGTTGTTTTTTTAGGACTGGCTTATTTCATGTACCCGGCATTTTCCGATACACAATTTCATACACAAAATAATTGTTGAAAAAAATTGTAGTGATTTTAAACTTTAAATGATTACTTAAAAAGGTGTTACTCTAATCAAAATTTGAATATTATTTTGTTATGAATGTCACTGTTTATTTTATGTCTGTTCTACTTTCTTAAATTTTTCTTGAGTAAAGGGGTCGTTTTTCTCCTAATGGGTATACCTGATTTCTCCAAGCAGCCTTTGTAAAATATTGGTCCTAAATAATGCTATGTTTATAAATGAAAAATCGCATGGCTGCATTATGATGAATGTACTTGTTAGTTCAATATATTTTATATTACCAGGTAACTATAAATAACCGCATAAATAGACGTAAGTTTAATTTTTTTTCTGTTAGATAAAGTCATATGGCAAATTTTTTTTTTATATCCTAATTCTAAAAAGAAATAATAATAGAATTATACAGTAAAAATAATCACTAAGTTTTTCTTTTAATAGTTTTGAAAGTCTGAGTTTGTGTTTTTGCAGATGTACACAAGCTACACTACGAGTCAGTCTTCTTCTTCTAATTGTTTAGAAATGAGTGTAAAAATGTAGGCTTCGATATTTTTAGCCTGAATTTAAGAAGTTACAAACTTCAAACAACTAATATATTGCCTCTTCCATAAAACTTTGTACTTCAAAAATAAATTTATCCAATGCTCGAAATCCTGTTTGTATACTTAGGCCCTATTTAAAATCGATGCGGTATCAATGTATTAAGTAGCAATAACCCCGCAAAAAAAAATAAACGAAAGAAGATTGAGATATATTTTTGTGACGGTACGCACTGGTACGGGGTACCGGCACCTTTTTTCAATGTCAGGAAAAATGATTACTTTTCTTGTCATTCAACTTTAATTGTTAATTTATTATTAGTTGAAAGTTAGGCAATCTATCACTGAGTACCGGAGCCTCTTTTTTATTTTTACAAAAAAAAAAGCACTTTATATACTTTCAGCCGACATGCCGTATTATTAAAAACACCTCTATGTGAACTTCTCAATCATCTAGAGTCTTAGACAGTCATTATTTTAGACTAGATTTAAGTACAGTCTAGACCTAGATTTAGTAGGCCTATTATTATAAAAAAAATAATAATAATCAGTCATTATAGACATCATTCGCAATTTTATTATTAGTTCTAGGCATTGAAAAGTAAATATCTTATCTTATCTTATATAATACAGACATTACTTCAAAAAAGAAGATGATTGCGTCCTATGCGTCATGCATTTAGTCATGCATATTAACCAATGACTTAAATTCTGCCAAGTCACTGGTTTTCCTGGCTAGCTCAGGTAACCCATTCCATGCTCTAATAGCACTAGGGAAGAAGGAGTATTTGTACAAATTTGTCCTAGCATATGGGACGAGGAATGTGCCTTTTTCTTTGTGTCTTTCAGAGTATTTTATTAAATTTTGTTTTTGTATTTGAAGATTATGGTTCAGTGTTTTATGTATAATTGCTACTTTACTTTTGAGTCTTCTGTCCTGAAGGCTTTCTAAATTTAGTGATTTTACTATAGGTGTTACTCTAGTCAAATGTGAATATTCATTTGTTATGAATCTCACTGCTCTATTTTGTGTCTGTTCCAGTTTCTTAATGTTTTCTTGAGTTGAGGGGTCCCAAACGGAGGATGCATATTCTATTATTGGCCTAACCAAGGTTAAATAACATTTTAGTTTTATGTTCTTATTTGATTTATAGAAATTTCTTTTAATAAATCCTAATGCTTTGTTTGATTTTTTAATAGTTTCATCAATATGTGGATTTCATGACAGTTTTTAATTTATTATAACACCTAGGTATTTTGCGTTTTTAGTCTGTGTTACTGGTTTGCCATGAATAAAATAAGTGGAATTAATTTGTTTTAGTTTTTTTGTTACTCTTAACAATTGACATTTTTCTGGGTGGAAAGACATGCTCCAATT